TTTAGTAAAATATTATCATACATAATTTATATAAAACTATATATATATATATAAATTTATATATTATATATATTATATATAGATTTTTAAATGAAAATCTACATTTATTACATAAATAGTAAAATTTATTCCAATTAATGGCTGATTTAATATAACACGGTTTTTTCCAAATTTTAAAAAAAGTAAATATTTTTTAATTTAATATGCGGTTTTGATATGTTATCGAAAAATGATGATTTCATAACAAAAAATTAAATATTTCAAAAAATCCACAATAGGACTCACAATCCTTCGATAATATAAAAATAAATTTTTTTTTTTTTTATATGTATATATACATATATATTTTATAAATTAAAATAAAAGTAAAAATTAAAGTGAAATTTTTTTTTATAATTGAATATTTTTTTATTCTTATTTATATTATGTATTAAAATGATTTAATATTATTTTATTTAATGTTTTATTTTCTACGAATATATCTTAAGTGATTTTGAGATATTATTGTATATATTTTTTATTACATATATCTTTATTTGATATTTGTTTTTTAATTTTAGAATGTTTTAGTTCAATTTTAAAATTGATATGCAATCGGTATTAGATTTCATTATTATTAATAATAATTAATTTATAATAATATAAATTATTTTAAATAATATTAACTATATAATTATATTAGATGATTTTGCAGAAATATAAAATTATGAAATTAATATTTTAATATTATAAAGTTACAGTTAATATTTTAATATTATAAAGTTACAGTTAAATAAAACAATAACATAAATGAAATTATGTATTATAAATCTTTATCCATTTTTATCTGAATCTTTCCATCGATAATATATTGCTAATAATTAACTATTACCTTTCTCGTCTATCGCTTTCTCGTAACTATTTTTTTTTCTTTGTATTCTACTTTCTATACTTTCTAATTAATTTTTACTCTGGTGTAAGCTGTATTTTTATTTTCATATATTTTTCTTTTTATTAACTTTTTCGGATTGAATGGAATTATGTAAATATAAAGTTTTAATATCTAATTTATTTAATGACTTGCAGAAAATATGCGAATTAAATTACTAGGATTACTAGGAAAATCATTATATTCAATGTTTTTATCTTTGATTTTTTAATATAAATAATTCTTATACTTTGTGTCTAAATAAAAAATTTGTATAAGCATATATATATATATATTGTAAAGCATAAAATTTTATAATAATATTACATTTATAATAATAAAAAGCATATAATTTTTATAATAAAACATAAATATTTATGAATGCAAAAAATTTATATAATTATAACAAACTATATTTTTTTGTTAGTTGAAGATAAAAAAGATATGAAAGAAAAAAAACATAAATTAAATTATAAAATATCTTTGATTTGAATTGATTCAGCAATAAAATTGTTTATATAAAAATTTTAAATTCAATAAGTTAGCATTCAATTTTATTTAATATAAGATAATTTAAATAACTTAATATAAATAAATAAGAAATTAATAAAAATAAAAATACAATATTTCTCCTATTATTTCTTTTTTTCAACAAAATTAAAAATCAAATCTATAGATTTAAATTTTTTATAAAGTAAATTACAATTCCAAATTATAAAAAAAATTCCAAAAATGTAAAAACTGCAAATTTCTGACAATATTTTAATAATTTCAAATAATATTTTTACGTAAAAACTTTTTTAAATATCTTAATATTGATATTATAAATTAGCAACAGTATTTTAAATATGTATTTTCTCTGTCATATATAATTTTTATATGTATATTAGTATTTATTTTATATATATATATTTTATATAGAATGTCTCTTATTTTCGATTTTTGAATTTTTTTCGTGACATTTCTAGAATAATTCTAATTGATAAAAAAATAATTTAAAACAAAGAAGAAAATGTATTTTCGAGTTTTTAAATATTAAAATAATTAATTAAATAAATGCTTATAAAATTAGTTTTTTCGATTATTTTCTAAATTATAATTAAATTGATTATATTAAAAAACATATCAGACAAAGTTATACAGAAATATAATTAAAGTATCTTTTTTTTAATTTATAAAAAAAGATCTAAAAAAAAAATTTTTTTCGCCAATTTTCATAATGATTTTTAAATAATTTTTAGAACAAAAATTTGAATATTTTATTTTTTATGCATATTTTTATTTTTGCATGTAACACTATTTAAGTTTTCGAAATATTTGCAAAAAAATATTGCTATTAATAAATAGAATTTATACATATTCTTTTATATATATACGTTCGCAGCTGCATAAACGTATGATTGTACTTATCTATTGTTTTAATAAACATACCATAGTAGGCAGCTTAAAATGTATAACAAATGAACCAATCAAAAAGCTATTTATGGATTATAATGGATTTGAAATGAAATTCAAAATGGACGAAAATATAAAACAATTCTTGAATTAATTAATGATCGATGTTAAAATAATAGCAATATTAGCATTATATTTGATATCTATCATTATTATTTTATATTTTATTATTATTTTTCGCATTTTGTAAATTTGAAAAAGATTAAATAATATCTTGAAAAAATTATTGATAAGATTTTTTGAAAAGATTGATAGATGCTCACTAATAGCAGTAATTATTTTAGTGAATTATTTTTGTTCCAATATAAATCAATTCAGATCGAATTAACAATCATAACAATTGTACTCAAGCTTGACATTGGGGTTGAGATATTTCAAATCTATTACAATTCATGAAGAAATACATTTTTAATTAGTTTACTTACGTGTTATTTTAATTGTAATGCTATTACATGCATTTCATATATTTATAAGTATTTTTTGCTTACAAGATATATAATTTTATATTTTATTTTTAATTTTATAAGAATATTAAAATAAGAATATTTAAAAAAATTATATAATTAAACAATGTATATAATAAATAATTATGAAATTTGAAAAAGAAAAAAATGCACAAAATAATAGAATCATTATATATACTTGTTATCAGTTATAGAATAATTTAAAAAAATAGTGAAATTTGTATAAAAATAATATGTTAAATTATTAAAAAAAATATTAATAACTTTATAACTTATAATAACTAACTATATTATTATTATTATGCTTAATCACTTGGATTATTCGTTTCTCCATATTGCAAATTAATTTTTGTAATTTTATAGTAGGTAATTTTAAAGTTTTATAGTAGAATTCCGTTCTAATTATTTATTCTAATTTTTTATGTTATTGTACTATATCTCATTTTTATACATGGCTTTTAATAAAATTCTTTTTTATTAAATTTAAGCCATTTAATAAATGATAAAATTTTTTTATTTAATGCACCGTTATATTATCTTATTAAAAAAAATTTTTTATTATGATATTTTTTAATAAATAGAATTAAATAATTGTGTAACAAGTCTATATTTTTCAAAATTCATTCTTATCAAAATTTTACAAATTAGTTTTTTTTGAAACATTGAAATTAAATTTTTTTATTAAAAAATATTTCAAATTTTTGTTATTTTTTTACTAGATTATATTATAAATATTATAATATATTAATATAAATATATATTATTATATTATTATAAATTGTAATTGAACATGTTTATGTTAAGTACATAAATAATTTTAATACTTTTTTCATCCATTTTTTTATTTTATTATAACATTTGTTAAATGTTATTAATCCAAAATTTTAATCACTTTATATTTTTATCACTTATTTATATTTTTATTTCCAAATGCAATTTCCTTAAATATTCGAGAATGATTATGTTAAATATTATGTTAAATAATATAAATAATTATATTGTCATTTTTAAAGTAATTTTTACTATAATTTTCACCTAATTTTGCATGTAATAAATCCATTAATTTTTATCGAATAATAAGTTTATCGCAATATGTATGTCGCGATTTTCAACAGAAAAAATTAAAAAATATTAAAAATGTTGCTAAAAATTTTGTTTATTTTTGAAAAATATAATATTTCGATAATATTTAACATTGATTTTCTTCGATGTTTTGCATATATTTATTAAGATAAAATTAAATAAATATAATTGTTTCTAGAATATAGAATATATATTTATAGAAATTTTTTATTGATCTCGAAATTTCTTATTGATTAACGAATAATCCTATCAACAAAAAACTCCATATTTAATAGCACAAGTCATTTCATAATAAGAACATTATAGTGTGCGTTTATTAATAATTTATTTAAAAAAATAAAATTTTATAAAATGCATTAATATTTTTTCATAAAATATTTTTTTTTTATAAAAATCTCTTGGACTGTATATATTTCCATTAATTCTTGAAAAGAAGAATTTCTAGAATCTCGGAATGAACATGCTAAATGGAATTTGACATCGTTAGTTGTTTCAACATATACCGGTATTTATTTTTTCTCTTTGAATTTTTTGAATTCCTAAGTCATCACTTTATTTAAACATTCGTATTCAATTTCATTGCAAAGGTATTGCTGCTTGTAATATATTTAATAAAATATATTTAATAATATATTTAATAAACTATATTTAATATAAATAATTATTACATTAATATAAATAAATGCAGTATACATATACGAAATTTTGCTTGAAAAATATGATAATAATCTTTTTTAAATATCTATAAAGAAAGATCAAGCGGCGATTACATACATAGGGAAAAATTAATTAGAATATTGATTTCTAAAATATATTTAAAAATTATCAAAATATCTTTTCTAGATAATTATATCTTATACTTTATATTTTGTAATTATATATTTTGAAATTATCAAAATAATTATTAAATATACAATTTTTTGTAGTTCTTTTTAAAGACATATTTATTGATACCGAAAAAATCGCATATTATGATTTTGATTAAATTTTTTTCTTTTTTAATTTTTATTCGTTCTTGAATAATAAATCTTATCTTATTAATTAACCATTAATTATAATTATCTAATTTATTCTCAAAGATATAATAACTTTCAAATTTTTATTTTTTTTTTTTTTATAAAGTTTTCTATAAAGTTTTATTGCTATATAATCTCATATATATTATTATGAAATCCTTATTATGAAATCTTTATTATGAAATCAAATATGTTTTTCTCTTGAACAACATTTTAGTCGCTGATCGAATGCGAAAAGTACTTCTATAGGAAAAGTTATGTTTCGAAATGAAACAAATTAAAAATTATATTCAGAATATTAATATATTTTTGGAATATCTTTAAAATATTGGATTTATAATGTAAGATAAATAGATATAATAATGATATATAATAAGATTATAATGAGGTATATATAATGAAGTTATAATGCAAAGTTAATTGCTTATAATATAATATATAAGTCTCAATTAATATTTTTGTACATTAACTTTTATATTTATATTGATTTCTAGAATTTACTTTTCAAAGGATGTTTTGAATATCTTATATATCGCTCTAAAACTCAAAACATTTTTTAATTAATCGATAATGATTAACTTGAATTAATGATTAATTGTTAAGAAAATATTCCATTAAAATTCATATAAAAGAAAAATTAATAATTTAATTTTTTTAAGAAATCCATTTTATTCATTGTTAGTTTTTTGGTTTGAAATATATATATAGTTATAGTTATAAAAAAGAAATGTAAACAAAATTTTGCAAATGTTAAAAAATTGTGTAAAAAAGTACTATATAAAAGAAATATTCAAATTCATATGAACATATGTAAAAAGAATTTTTTAAATTACTTATTTCAATTCTTAAAACTCTTGAAAATTATTTTAGATTCTATATTTGAAAAACAATATTGATTATATTGTGAAAAAATAATAAGTTAAAAATAATAGTAAATTCATTCGATTCGCATTTATTTAATATTTTTTTATTTAATGCCTTTGCATAAAATATTCTTTAAATCTTCATAAATGAATTTCTACAAATAAATTCCGTGAAAATGAAAAATAGAAAAAATTAATAAATAATAAATAAATAAAAAATTAAAGAATAAAAAATTTGTATTGTAATAATTTTGCATTATTTATCAATATTCGTTATATTATAGTTACAAGTTATGATTATAAAATGCATTAGTAAATTTACGAAATTATATAATCGTATATTTATATAATTATTTGCAATTGATATATATCTATATCAATTTTTTTTATCTAATTCTCAATGAATTATATTAATATAATATATAATTTATATATTAATATTATATATAATTTATTATATATTAATATAATAATATTATATTAATATATATTGAGAATTCATTATTTTACTATGCTAAATTATTTTTTTACTAGTAATGCGAAATAATTTATATGATATAATTATACGATATAATTATACTGTTTCAAATATTCTTATTATTTAACTGAATCAGTTACATTTACAAAAAAATTGATGTAAAAATCGCTTAAAAAAGAGCATTAAAATAAAATGAATTGAAATGATAAAAAACATAGAATAACATAGAATAGTTAATAAAATAAAATACTTTTTTCAGAATTGTCATCGATATCTTTAAAATATCTTTAAGATAAAGATGAAGAAAAAACTCTTTTACTTATTCACTATAAAAAAAGTTACTTAAACTTTTAAATTTTTTAACTACGCATTCAATAATTTCGAATCATTTTAACGATTGATATAATAAAGAATTTTGTTCGTATAATATAATTTATTAATAAAATATTTAAAAAAAAATAATATATTTAAGAAAAAGATTGTAATTTGAAAACATCTATGCAAAAATTTAATTTATATTGCGATTTTATGTTCTTCTCTTGCAGATATAAAAATTTATTCTTATGCAGATAGGTCTCTATTAGGTAGGGGCGGGGGATTAGATGGAACTAGAAATCTTTTATTCCTGTGTTTAATTTCTGCAATCTCTACACGATTAGATTTTATTGTAACGATAATATTTTAATATTCGAGATAAAGATTTTTAAGTTAAAATTTAATTTCTGATATAATTATATCAGATACATTATGATAAATTTTATATCGATTTTTAAATTTTTGTTTTAATATATTTTAATAATATAATGTAAATTTATAATATATAATTATATAATATATATAAATTTATAATAAATTATCGATTCTTTATAAAAATAAAAATATAACGTTTTTTTACATTTTTTACGTTTTTTACGTTTTTTTTTCTATATATTTGTTATTTGCATATAAAATCAATTTTATATTTTATAAAATAAAATTATTATAAAAATTTAATTTATATATAAATATGATTAATAAAATATTATGTTATATATATATATATACATTATTATCATGTAGTTATAAATTATAAATTATAAATATAGCGTTATTTATTAATTTTTTATAAATTAATTGACGTTTTTTTTCTTTTTTTTTTCATTATTTCTTACTTATATTTAATATTATGTCTGGTAAATTAATATTTCTTTTGGATATGCATTTTATTTACTCTTTAGATTTATAGGTGTTATATTATAAAAAATTCAATTAAACTTTCAACATTAAGGTTATAAAATGGAATATTAAATAATGAATATTATATTTGTCTTTTTTAATATTTATTAATAATAAAATATAGTAATATATGCAAATGATATAAGTGATGACAGCTGTTTTTTTCAATATTCATTGTAACAGAATATTATTATAAGACATATTTACATAAAAAAATATAAAAGCAAATATAAATATTGTAATAAATAGTTGTAAATAAATTATAAATATATTTATAAATTAATTTTTATTTACTACTTTTTTTTTTCAATATTTATGAATTTTTTAGTTCATTAATTATATTTGAAGAGAAAGTAATGATTTAAAATGATATAAAGCAGAAAGAAAAAATATATTCACGTATTTAAATGTATTTTTAAAATCGGAATAATTTTTTTTAAATTGCAGAAAACAACTTGAACTTTTTGAGATGTTAAAAGAAAAGATTAGAAAGTTTATTATTGATATAAATTGTAAGATATTCAAATTTGTAGTTTTTCATGATTTTTAATCAATAATTGTAATAAATCTTCAAATTTTTCGATGTACTTTTTGTATATGTTGATTAATTTCAATGAAAAATTATGCATGTACATAATTTAATTAGATTTACATGTTTAAAATTATAGACTCGAGCAAAAAAGTTAAAAATTGAAATTTTTTTCTTTTTTACTTGAGATTCTGACAATAACAATTTAAAAAAAATTTTTACACATTATTTATTAAATTAATTCTTTTAATAAAAAAATTCAAGTCGTTTTTTAATTTTAAAAAAGTTATTTCATTATTAAATTCCATTTTAAAGGATATGAGTATTTTTTTTAAAGAATAATTTTTATAATAATTTTTAATAAATATTTATAAATAAACATGACATATAACAATATAATAAATAAAGTAAATAAATTTCATATAATTTTTATTTTATTTTTATATAAAATTTATATATATTTTTTTAACAAAATAATCAATTTTAATGTTAATTTTAATTTTTAGAAAAGTATTTTTTAAGTGATCCAGAATTACAAAATAATATACCAGTAAAATATAAAAGTCATAAAGAGATATATGAAGATGCTGTACGAAAAGTATGTAGGGTTTTATACAAACTTAGAAAATTGCAAGAAACAGGAAAAGCGGGTATGGATGATTTCACGTAAGTTTTTTATTAATGCAAGAATTATTTGTATTTATATTAAGTGATATTTTATTATTATTCACATTATATATGATATAAATGAATGAATTAGCATATGCTGCAAAATAACAGAAACAAAAACAAAACAAAATAATTAAAAAAAAAAAATAATTATTTAATGATTGTGATAATAATGATGGTTATGATAATGGTAAATAGTGTAATCAAATATGAATGTTAAACTTGTAATAGAGATTATATCTGCAATACAAAATATTATTTATTTTTTTAATATTTCTATAAATTTTAAAGTAGTAAAGTAGTAAATAAATTTATACCAAATATATATAGCAAAATAATATTTTTACATTTTTCAGTCATATTTTTGGAGCTAAACTTGGATCTGCAATATTAAAAGATGGAAATCCATTAGTATTGCATTATGCCATGTTTTTACCATCTATTATGGGACAAGGAACTATAAAACAACAAGAATATTGGATAACTAGATCTTGGAATGGTGATGTTATAGGAACATATGCTCAAGTAAGATACAAGAATTATTAAAAGATGAAATTTATGGCACAATAAATTTAATCTTTTTTTTTTGTTTTAGACTGAATTAGGTCATGGAACATTTATCAGAGGTTTAGAAACTACAGCGATATACGATTCCAAAACAAAAGAATTCATTTTGAATAGTCCTACTTTGACGTCTTATAAATGGTGGCCAGGAGGATGTGAGTATAATTTTATAAATAATAAAATATATATATATTGAAAATTTACTTATAAATTTAATTTCTAGTGGGACATACTGCAAATCATGCAATAGTTGTTGCACAATTATACACACAAGGGGAATGTAAAGGTATTCATCCCTTCATTGTACAATTAAGAGATGTGAATACACATCAACCTTTACCAGGTATGTAAAAACTTTAAATATAAAAATTATTTAATTTATATTTTAGAAAAAATCTAATAAATATTATTTTATTTATTAAAATTAATTTATATAAATATTTCTTTTTAAATCATTATTTATATAAATTAAAATTAATTTATAATTAATTTTTAGGTATTAAAATTGGAGAAATTGGTACAAAATTGGGAATGAATGGTACTAATAATGGTTTTCTTGGATTCAAAAATTTCAGAATACCACGAGAGAATATGTTGATGAAGAATTCTAAGGTAAAGAAAAAAAAGAAAATATATTTATTTTTATTTTATTTTATAAAAATTTTATAAAAAAGAAAACAGTTCTATTTCTTTTTTCATTAAAACTGAAATTTATCATTATAATATAATCTTAGAAGAATAACAATAATTTTTCTTATTTTTGTATCTTATTTTCTTTTTTGCTAAATCATTTTTCCGGTGGCAGTGTGAACATTAAGGTAATATATTTATATCTATGAAAATAGAACTGTGCATAAACTGGAATTATCATTGGAAATTATAATATTCCATTTTTTTATTATAGGTTTTAGAAGATGGAACATATGTAAAAGCATTGAATGATAAATTAACATATGGTACAATGGTATTCGTTCGAGTAGTGTTAGTATATGATATCGTAACTTATTTATCAAAAGCTGTTACTATTTCGGTTCGATATAGTGCAGTGAGACGTCAGGGTCAAATAAATTCGGAGTAAGTCAAAAAATAATTATATATTCGTATCTAAAATATTTTCATATTATGCTTTTCAAAGAAAATAATATTATTCTAAATGAATTTTACTATTTTTAAATGAATGCAAGAAAAAATTTTATTGGTAAATTATTTTTATTGACAATATTAATTTTATATTATTTTTATATTTATATATTTTAATATTAATATATTTTATTAACAAGGAAATTTAAAAATTTATATTTATATTCTTTTTTCTTTTTTTTTATTTTCAGAAAACCTGAGGTACAAATCCTTGATTATGTAACCCAACAATACAAAATTTTTCCTCATCTTGCTACATGTTTTGCATTTAAAATAACTGCTAATTGGATATGGGACATGTACAATGTTATCAATGTTGAAATGGATCATGGAGAATTGGATAGGTTACCAGAGGTACTAATTTTATATGTTTTTTACTGAAGAATTTTTCTTTTTTACTTTATTAATTTTTTTTGTAGTTACATGCTTTGTCATGTTGCTTAAAAGCAGTTGCATCTGCAGATGCAGCAGCTGGAGTAGAACAAGTTCGATTATCTTGTGGTGGACATGGATATATGGATGCTAGTAATCTTCCAGCAACTTATGGTTTAGTGACAGCTATCTGTACCTATGAAGGAGAAAATACGGTCTTACTTTTACAAACAGCTAGATATTTAGTAAAAGTATGGAAACAAGCTGTTAATGGTCAAAAATTACCAGTTACTGTACAATATCTTTCAAATGCAGCAAAAAAAATACAACAACGCCCTTGGAGCAATAATTTGGATTATATTGCTGAAGCATATCATATGGTAGCAGCAGGGTATAATTTCTTCAAATATATGAAATATTTAATATATAAATATAAATATTCTTCGATTTTTTTATAAGATTTTTATTTTTTTATAGAATTATACGTATAGCAACGGAAAATATGGATCGTAGAATACATAATGGCATTTCTGCGGAAGATGCCTGGAATCAAACTAGTATCGAATTAGCTTATTGTGCAGAGGCACACTGTCGAGCTTTCATTGTAAAAACATTCGTTGAAGGTGTTAAAGAAATAAGTTCGATTAGTGATCAATTAAAACAAGTATTATTTCAACTTTGTGAATTATATGTCATATATTGGGTATTACAAAAACGTGGCGATTTTCTTCAAGTAATTTAATTTTTTTTGTACAATAAAATTAATTAACTATTACTAATAAAAACAAGTTTGAATTTAAAGTTCTTCATTATCTTTTTTTTAGTTTTGTTCTATGAAGCAAAATGATGTCCAGATACTTCAATCACGTTTAGAAGAATTATTGATGACAATCCGTCCAAATGCTGTGGGTATTGTTGATGGTTTTGATATCTGTGATGAAATTCTTAATTCAGCTTTAGGCGCTTATGATGGTAATGTTTATGAACGATTGTACGCTGAAGCCATGAAAAGTCCTCTAAATCATGAAAGCGTGAACGAATCTTTTGAAAAATATTTGAAACCATTTCTTAAAAGCAATTTGTAAAATGTTTTTTTTTTATATTTTAATTTAAAAAATAATTTAAGCGAATTATAATTATTATTTTATATTTTATATATGAAATTTATATATTTTTTTTTATATTTTATATATCAAAAATTAAACTTCTTCAAATCTTTTATAATTAGCTTCTATTAAATAGCTAATTATCATAATATGTACAAGATTTTTTTCTATTGAAAAATATTCTTATATATTATAAAACAGAAAAAAAAATAATCGCTGTAATTATGTTAATATTGATTTTTAACATATTATAATTATAATATATATGCAATGTTGAAGATAATTTTATAAACATTTAATTTTTGTTGAATATTTAATGTTTAAAAAAAAATATTTTTTACAAATATCTTTATAATAATTGTCAATAATATTTCATAGAGATTATTTTTACAAAAAATTTTTTAGGAATGTAAGATTATTTAGGAATGTATAGATTATTCAATAAAATGTTTTAGATATGTTATAAAAAGAATGATATTTTCTATACAATTTTTACAATTAATAAAATTATATTGAAATATAAATTGCCTACTTTTTGGACCTGTAAATGCTTAAAAAAAATTATATTTTAAAATTAGATTTTTTCATACGGCAAAGTGTTTATTTACAGAATAGGAGCGATGACATACAATATTGTTCATTATATTAACATAGTGCAATTATTGTTAATTTCTGTTAATAACGTGTCATTAACATAAACGCCCGCAATAGAAATAATATTGTTCAAAATTAAGATGGAATTTGTAAGATTCAATGATATCGCTTTGGTATTATGATATTAATTTTCAATTAATTCATATATTATAATATGTCCAATAAGTCGAGTCAATATACTCAAATGTATACGATGATTCATTTACATAGAATTCAAATATAAAATCAATATATCACGTAACGCAATAAATATTACAAAACATATTTTGAATAATTTAATCTGACACAAATTTGATACTATATAGCACGTTTGTTACATAATTAATAATAATTCAATTAATTTATACTCGAATATTTTGATTATTTGTATTGATTCGCTCATTGGACGTTTATTATAAATTTTAGGAACTTTGGAATCGTTATATTAATACAGACCAAAAATATAAATCAGTGTAAAAAAAATCATAATTTAGTTTTTTCATTAATAGGCGATATCTTTTTTATACAAATACATATATGTGTATATATTTGTACATATATATATATGCATTGACCATGAATATATAATATATAGTACACATACATATATACATATATGTACACATATATAATACGTATGATGTAGAATTTTGAGGGCAATCCAAAAGGGGAGGAGCGGAGGATACACAATACTTATTCTTAAAAAATAATATTGTTAATTATATTGTTATCATTATTAATTATATTCATAATTTTAAAATTATTTGTCCACTTGGCCTATGGGTTTATGTCTAATATTAGACAAATTTCTCACTACTATAGCATTTTTAAGGAATACATCCTCTTATAAAATAAGATTTTATTACAATTAGTATTTGTTTCTTGTCGCATAGAACAGCGCATTTCGAGTATTAAATGAGCCACGTGAAAATGCAACGCATATTTTTTACTTTCTTTACCTTTGTTGTCTAGTATTTTTGTCTTAAATGCAAGTTTCTGTAACAAATTTTCTTTCTATTCACGAACAATATTTTTTTTTAAATTATTTTTTCGTGCATATTAGTAAATGATCAAGCAATTATAACAAATTTTTAATATATTATTTTTATTTAAATAAATTATATTTAATTAAAAAATATTAGTTCGTGAAAGAAATTATTTAAATTTTTATTCATAAAAAAAATTTTATATTTCTCCGCATTACCACCCGAAAAATTAATTACTATCTAAGAAACAATCTTTTGTCTATATTGCATACGATTATTATTATAATAAAGATTATGATTCGATTTCCAGATTTCTTTTTTCTTTTATTAGTGCAAGGAAAGAAGAAGAAATTTTCATAAAGGAAAGTTCAAGAAAGAAGAAAGATGATATAAGGGAAGAAAGGATTTTATGGAAAAGTGAAAAACGGAGAATTTAAAAATATATAAAACCGATTCAAGATGAAAAATACATCATGACAGTATTTTTTATTTAGCTTGAATCGGAGTATGATATCTATATTGATATAACAAGAATAAATTTCCTTTCCAACGATTTTCGAGTTAAAGGCAAAGCATAAAATGTATGTATGTATTCTAGAGTGTAGAATAGAATCTACACTATTAATTTTAGGTACTGTGTAATATTCTATTAATCTTAGGAGAAATAGAAGAGAGAATTAATTTCCATTCTATTTATTGCAAGTAACTTATCCTAAACACAATAATTTTTTCGACACATTATGTATCGTAACTTTTTAGACAATTTGATCTTTTTTACTTAGATATCAATATTTATTTGTGATTTTTTGCTTCTCACATAATCTGTACATCAAATAATTGCTTATTTAAATAGTTCTTCTTCCAAGTCAATTCTATCAATACACTTATTTTTACTATTTCTTATAGTATCATAGAGACGCGTCTAGATACTTTGTTATAAATAAAGCTTCCAGCCATTTTACAAATCGATAAGATCGATTTAGAAACAACAAGTGCCATTATTAAAATGCACTGATTGATAGAAATGTTATTTATCTTGTTTTAGAAAAAACGACGCGATACCTGAAAATATTTAAACCGATATTGCCATAAGCAGTTTTCTTAAATTACAACAAATATGTATAATGTTCATTTATATGTTTTTTTACAAGTTAATATAATTAAAAGAAAATTGTCTTATGCAACATCGATTGTGATACATCGATTAAATTTAAACGCTTTGCCCGTAACGTTTAATGATCGTTTAAGTAAAATAAAATAAAGATAAATTATGTTGATTATTTTAAAAAACAGGGGAAAAAGTATTAATAGCGTTAATAAAAAAGCATTTAAATCAAGCGAAAAAAGAATATTATGACAGTTCTTCTAGGCAATTGGTGTTTCTTATATATTTAAATACATGGCAGTATCGACATGATATATTTTAGTTTACCCCGATACATCGGACTTTATAAAAATGGCGCTCGTGTTCCTCCTACACAGGTAGAACACAGATTTATGATGATCTTATTGTTTAAATAAAATTGTACATTAAAAAATAGGATCCTAATAATTTTATTTATTTACACGAGAAAATAGAAATTTATCCGTCCATTGTTTTTATTATAAACAATAATAGTTTGTATTAAATCTGTTTATATTTTAAATGTTGCTTTATTATATATATTGGTCGATTCAGGCGATAATAAATGCAACAATTCGTATACATAAAATTCATATTATTATTGCACAAAATATAATAATGATATAATGTTATATATAAGATATTATAAAAAGTATAACATCATATATATAAGATTATTTATGAAATGCAAATTATTCAATATTCACATTTATTCTTCAGTAACATTAAATAATATTGTGATCTAAAAAAACATTAAAAGACAGTACTATATATTACGGATCGTATTGAAATTGAGGGAATAATAAAATGATATATTCATGGCGAATGATATATTCATGATAGAATAATATATTCATGGCGGGATTAAAAATTGAATTCATGTTTGTTGTTTCAATAATAATAATAATAATAATAATAATAAATTTGACATAGTCTGTTCATATTTACTAAAATCAAAACGAAAATTGTTTTCCATAGAAAAATGAACAATATAATAATAATAATAATAATAATAACAATTTAAACATTAAAATGATATTGATTCATTATACTCGATCAGTAGCATAATCAAATATACTTTTCCCAAATAATTGATAATTTGATAATTATTGTTATAATTTGACAATTAAAATATTAATTACGTTCTACCTGGAAAGAGGCGAACGAGACGCCGAAAATATCTCAAATAATTGAGGAAAGGAAAACGATCCACAGGATCACCTGAAGATTAAAAGAAAGGATATAGGATAGATAGAAGAGAAAATAGAAGAAAAGGGAATCGCTTGGTCCTACGTGAAAAAGTTAATAAATTATTACAACGTACTTCGCGCGATACTGATCGACCGTAAGATAAATACCGCGGATTAAAATCTTAGAACAAATAGATATACACTTGAATGTGTGTGTATGCATTTTTTATATTATCTTCTTTTTCATTAATTTTTTAATATGGCATACGCATATCTCTTATAGTCAGAGATGAAAGTCGTCTGTATATAAATTTATATACGCACATATGTTTCTTTTAAGATCGGAAGGAGTAATGTCCTTGCGTATACGCAGGATATTGTTTTATCCATGGCAAATAGAATTTCTCTCGATCAGCTTTTCTCTTTAAGATACAAAATGTTTCTTAGCTTTCTTACGGTGGAAGAAGGAAACAACGAGGATACGTTATGCTCTGTTTTTTTTTTAAATAAAATGGCGAATCTCTTCTTGCAACAAATGTCGTTTATTTTATTTTGATGAAGATCAAATCATCGGTTGCAGAAAACGTCGCTTAAGATATTTAAAATGGCACACTGAGATTTTTATTATATAAATGGCAATTGATTCGACCATGTTTAATGAGAACAGTTCGCTTATTGCAAACGCAATTGTTTTTGAAGAATTCGTGGAAGTGAATCAATAAGAATTAATTTAAATAATCTACAAATTCGATTAAATAAATAAAGAAAAATCTCAAAAATTAAGATTAGAAAATATGCAAATTAAAATTAGATATAAAACTATGAAATATTAAATTTAATTATTGATGAAAGATATAAGTTTCATCTCGTTAAATAAATAATTTTTTAATATAAAAGAATATTTTATTAGAGGAACATCGCGATTATTTGTGCCATTTATCATTCAATCAAATATACATTTAAAATAGAAAATTAAAAAAAAACAAATCAATTTAATATGATTAAATATGTAAGATTAGGAGATAAATTTTATGATTAATGCGATTTAAAATACGATATGTAAGATTAGATAAACTTTATAATTAATACAATTTCAGATATGAATATTCAAATACATATTTAATTTAAATTAATCGATTTTTATATTTTTAAAATTTTTCCTAAACATTTTTTAATTAATCATTAATAATGCGCTATTTGCCTTTACCAATATGCAAACGCGTTGTAATCATTCATTTCATTTATTGGATTATATATTTAATTATAATTATCTTAAGTCATATCTACATTAATAACTTATAAAATTATTAATAAAAGAGAAATAAAAATCTTAAATTACTTTTAATATCTTTATCTATCATTTTCCCATAGTCATTGTTTTCTAATCATCAAGCAAATATATTATTTTTTAATTTTTAATGTTTCTAATGTATTATAATTGTATTCATTTAATTCTAATCTAATAATTAAAATAAGTTATAAATTTCCTAAAAGAAAAACAAATCTTAAAAAAGACAATTTCTTGAGATAATTTATTTTTTTTCTATTAATTGTAATGAATATTCTATAAAACTGGACTTAAAAAAGAGAAAAGCGCCAGTAGACTAAAGACCCTGTGCAGTCATATTGTTAAAAAACATCTTTGTAAATCTGAAAAGCGATCCTTAAATACAAAACAAAGTAAAAGTAGATGAAAAACATAGAAAAAAGAAAAGACAGCAGAGGAAACGTTGATAAACTATAGTTCACAGGATTGGCGTCGAAGAGAAATCATGGTGGCAGAACGATCCTTCTTTCTTTCCCTCCTTCCACCGGACCAGAATGATTAACGACATACCAACAGCGTTTATCGCCCACGAATTTTCACACTCTCAGTCCTGTACAGGGAGGCATGTACGTATGCTTGGATACGTATACGCTTCGAAATACACATTGTGTAAATGCATATGGAATTGGCGCAACCTTGCCGACGAATAGTTACAATGGGACGATCATCAGCCATCGCTCTCTTTCTTGTTCGATCAGCCCATGATAGTTATGGAAAAAAAAATATAAGTATCCGAGAATTGAATAATGAATTAGTACGAAGATATAAAATAAATTAATTTAAAACCGAGAGAAAAATCAATATTCTACTCTCGGAGGTGGACCGATGCTTAACTCAGAATACTACTCGCAACGATATACGAGTAGAAAAATAGAGTGCTATATATTTAAGGGAGGTTCCACCTCAGGATGTGATCAATTTAAAAACAATAATTATTATACGATATAAAAGCGAACATTATTAAAGCAAATAAATTGGAGGGATTAAGACGCGTTCAGATGAATGGAAATTTAAGAATTGGAAATATTCCCTGATCGAAAATTCAGAAAGAGATTATTATGACGCTTTTCCCCGATGTGAAGAAAATCTCGCTGCGGTCAATGAACGAGGTGTTTCGTAAGACCCTCGTAGGAGATTCCGGATGTGTCGTATCATCGGCGGTGGCGCTTAATTCGGTCGAAGGACATCGTCTTTCTCGGCATGGTATCGTGGGATAAAAATGGGCGGTGCCAAAGCTAGATAAGCTTTGTCGCCTCAAGCGTAGAATTCTCGATTATGATGCGGCGCGCCTGGTTTAGGGAATGCCTGCGCCGCTGGTGATCTTCTTGGCTCATCCAAAGCATATGAACCCTCGTCCTTTTTGCGCATCCTATATACGATGAACATCACCACTAATATTGCGCAAAGCAGGCCAACTACTGCGCCACCAATCACCGCTAAAAAAAGAATTTTATTTAATCTAAAATTGTAATTAAATAAATTATATAAAAATAATATTTATACTTTAAGTTATGAATTGGAGATTAATTTAATTATCTTATTATAAATTTGTATTATTATAAATAATTATAATATTTCATTATATGAAGATATTTATATAATATTAAATATAATAAATATAATAAATTTGCAATTAATTTTTACAAATTTTTCAAGTTTTAAGTTTTTTCAAACATTTTTTTTTTTGGATTAATTTTCTCAAAATATTATTTTTATTATCTTATTTTTATATCAAAATATTATTTTATTGTATTTAATATTGATAAAATGATTGATAATTGACTTTAAAGAACGTTTATAATTTATAATATTTGAATATTTATAATATTTGAAATATTTTAATATATAAGTATGGACAATTTCTTATTTAATACTGTTGAATTATTCAAAATGTTAATTATGTAATTCATTTATTATGTGTGACTCCGAATAAGTTAACCTAGAATTTCGTTAGGATTTACAATCTTCTTGTGAATAAATATTTCCGTATGTTATTATATATTTCAAGTTTAATATTTTTGGAAATTTGTTAATAAATAACAAATAACTTCTTCATATAATTTTAATTGTATGAATTAAGATTTCGACTTTTAAAATTATTTTTTACGAATTGCATGATTAAATGATGACTTAATCATTATAATGATGTATTTAATCACTTTATTTACAACAAAAAAATCTTGAGGAAATCAAAATTCCTATATTGTTAATAATATTGTATGTATTTTTATATTTATTATTTAGAAAATATATAGATATACTTCTCAAAATAATATTAACAAAAATTATTATATTATTAATACTTTCAAATTTAATATCTAATTAAATCGATATTTTCATTTAAATTTAAAAATATTTTCTAATCCATAATACAATTCTTTGTTAAAAAGAATTAATTTTAATTCATACAATCGAATCTAAAAATTGCAAGATATATTTCAGAAATTGATTTCAAATTTTACACGCCACAATTATGATTCACTCTTGTATTATTTGTGATGATAAAACGAATTAAAAAACATGATGAAAATATAGACTTACCTGCCAATACACCTGGCTGAGCAAAGAAAGAGCTGCTGCGGTCCTCGTGTTTCGGATTCATGATGTATACTTCGTGGATATCGTCGGTGTTGTCCGAGTGGTCGTCCTCGACATCCAAGGGCTCGATTACTTCGTTTTCGGGTCGGTTTACAGTCTCGACGATAGTCTGTAATATCGTTAAATCAATTTAATTCAGATACTTATCAGAATGTTTTTAAAAATTTAAAAATCTATCTTAACACATATACACATACTTGTCACATATTTTAGAAGAGTTTCTTTTTAAAAATAGAAAAAAAAAAAATCGTTAAAAAATAAATGATATTGTGAATCATAATGATCTTGAATGTTAGGAAATATTGCATTAAAATCATAAGATAAAAATGATATACTGTTTCATGATTTTTTTAGAATAATTAATTATTCCAAATGATAATTGCTTTAATGGTTTATCTCTTTAATGGAATTTTTATCTTTGAAATGACAAATTTAATTGTCTTAGAAAAGATAGTTGATATAGTACTATGTTAAATTGTGGTAATATATTGTAAGATTTTTAATCTCATAAAGGCATCTTGACAGGAGTTTGTAATTAATTATAAAAACTTTGGTTATATTCACCTGTTCCTTAGTTTTACTTGGTTCGTCGACAGAGTTTGGTACTTTTGCTGGCCTTTGAGGCGGAGGTTCTATCCTATTATTATTAAAGTCTGTAAAAAAAAAAAAAATGATAAAAAATAATTCACTATTTAAATTGTTATTCTATCTTATAAAAATATTAAACAATAAAACAAAAATTATAATAAATTTCAAAATAAATATGCTATATTCAACAGTAATAAAAAATTATATATCATTTCGTTCATTGTTTTTCAAGTTCAAAGATGATCGAGAGATATCAAGTTTGAATGGGAAAAACGATAAAACGTGAAGCGTTTTCCAGCTTGGCAATTTTGAAAAATGGAGACAAAAAGAGGAAACGTTTCTGGAAATCGCATGACGCGCATCATTGGTGTGCCGCATACAATGCATTCCGCGAGTTACGCTTTTATTGAAAAAATTTTGAGTAAAACGGGGGGGACTCTTCGTGCCGTCGATTTCTGCTCATGCTTTTCGATTGTCGATGGAATCCACATGGATGAATAGCTTTTTGAAAAAAACCGCCGCTGATGTTCGATTGTTTTGTAGCCCAAATACCCCAATTCTTTTTTTTTTTATTTTGTCTCTAAACTGAAATACTCACAATAGAGAATAATTGCGTTCCAGTTTGATCTGTAGTTTATCGATATCGAATTTTTCAAAATTGTCGCAAAACTATTGCAAAAATTAAAACGAGTCTTTTTTTATATTTTTTGGATTATTAACGTTATTATGATTATATTTTTTACAAATAAAAATGGAATAAATGATTAACGATCTTATTTTCTTCTCTTTTTAAAAAATTTTAATATTAAATATTTATATTGCTGTTATTTTGTTATTTTTTAAAAATTAATAAAGTGAGGAACAATGAAACATATTTACCGTGATCGTCGTCACCGTCTTCGTCATCTGGACCAAGACCACTTCCGGATGCTTCAAGATCGTCGCGACCTTCGCTGCCACCTCGACCAGAACCCTCCAAAGATTCTTGGTCGTCCAAATAAAGATCGTCCGGAAAGGAATTGTATGTTGTCGAACTTCCTCCCGCTGTCCTGTCTTTTTCGTTTTGATCTTTCTGAAATAAAAAGAATAGAATTTTATAAAAATTTTATAAGAGTAATTTTATAAAAAAATTTAATCTAGAATGAATTGATTAATATTTTTTATACATATATTTTTTATATATGTTTAATATACTTTTTATAAATAAAATTGGGAGAATAATTAAATTATATTTTGAGATAAAAGAAACAACAAAAAAATAAAGAAATATTAATAAAATGAAAATGTATATGATGGTTTCACATAGAAAACGGCGAAAAGAAAATTAATTGTGTGTTTTCCTATTGAGTATCATATAAACAATAAAATTATGAAAACACTATTTTATTTCTTATTTCTTTTACATAGTTCTTTAATGTAGTATCTTTCTTATTAAGAGAAATAAAAACAAACGTACAATTTTTATGGTTTTTATTATAACCATTTATAACTATTTATAATATACTTTTATATAATACACTTTATAAATACACTTTTATTTAATACACTAATATTAAAAAATCATAATATGATGTGAATAATAATGTGAATAATAATGAAATATAAATTAATATAAAATTGTATTAAAAATTATACAAAATAATATTTCCTCAGATTTAATAATTAATATAGTAAATTTGCAGAATACATCAAGGGAATTTCAAGCAAGAGTTTTTGGTTAGTCAATGTTACTGGAATGTTAGAATGATATGCAATGAAGTCCAGAATAATAAATGGTTTGATTATTACAATTGTTCTCTGATTGATTCACAATATCTATTCAATTTATTTATTTCAATTAATATCTTTGATATTTTTTCATTAAATTAAAAAATAGATGTGCATAATTAAAAGATATATGATAAATTTTATATTAAATTACTTTACTTGTGTTAAAATGAAACTTTAATTATATTTCATTTTTTATTTGAGCTAATATTGAACAAGAATCAATTTCTATTGGAGAGTTTTTTTTCGAAATAATCAAAATAGTCTATTGAATTGTAGTATCTCTCGGAAACAGTGACATGTATGGGAACAATCGATTGAAAGAGAGGTACAAGTGTGCACATAGAATGCACTGTTTATATACATGTTGTACAATCAAATAGGAACGAGCAACCGATCAAACTCTCAAATATCGAAATTTCAACGTTACTAAAAGAAACTAATCACGTTGCTGCAAAGCTGCCATCTGGCGTATCTATGTTTATAAAGGTTAGTTATTGCACTAATGAAAAAAGTATTTGTTGAATATTTGTTGAACTCATTATATTTATTCGATATAATAAATCTTCGATTGTGAACTTATCAATTATTTTAATAATTGATAAAACTAAAATTTAATTAAATTAAAAATATTTACAAAAATTGAATATTGAAAATTGAAAATTGAATATGATAATAATAATTTATGTTTTATATTTAATGTTTTATATATTACAGAACATATTATCAAAAATGAAAAATTATGTCTAATTGTAAATAATTAACAACAAAAAACGAAATTATACAATTTATACAATGATGTCAATTATTAATTACTAATAATTACTAAAATTTCTTAAAATTTTTATCTTTGCAAATAATTATAATTTTTTAGTGGCATAATCTTTATATAAAGCTTCTTTAATAATTGCACGGATTTAAGAGAAAAAAATAATTAAATGATGAAAAATATGCATCATTACAAAAAAAATATATTATTAAAAAATTATTAAATAATATTTTATATTACATGGGCATATCGTTTTATAAAAAAATTTTACATATTACAAATTATTAATATATTTTGTTACATAAAAATAACAAATAAAACAGATTAAATTTTAGAAATAAATTTTATAAATTAAATAAAATAAGTTGCTTGTCATTATTCATAAGTTATCAATTATCTGATTATTCTATTTGATATAAAATTGTAAAAAAGAGAAAAGTATATAATGTAATTTATTCATTCATTAAATATTACTATTAAATTATTTTATGAAGAAATATTGAAAATAAAATCAATTTAATCAATATTCTAATTTAAACAAAAATTATTATATACCAACCTTGATTATTAAATCTTAAATCAACAAATTTTGAAGTAGTCATTTAAAATAATTCCAATCCATACTATAAATATTTAATATTAGATCACCATGTCACCAAACATTAGCACTATTTTTAAAATTTAAGAGAGTAATGTCTGCGGCCAATGCACCGGGTGCAAGCAATTGTGCGTACGGATACATCGGGTCGTTCGCAACTGATCGATAATACAAAATTCGTCCCGGGCCAGCTACTCACCAATGCAAATAATTATATGCAGCAACTTGAAAGATTATTTATGGTGATGCAATTGTTCACGAATGTTTCTATTATAATATTTTACATAATCTGGTCACACGCACAGATCCGCTTTCTCTTCGACTTTTTTCGCCAATGTCTGCGGAAGAAACGCAAGAATTGCGCGGGCGCGCGATGTTATCGACCTCTTTCGCGCATTCTGCCGCATTACGCATTTTTTTTTTTTTTTCATTTATTTTTCTCTCGTCTACTTTATTGTCGTGGTTGGAAAAACGAACAATGCGGCTACGTTTGCATGCAAATGACTAAAGGCTAAGGTCAAGGCTCTCAAGATCCACTTGTCCCGCCTTTTTTAAACGATTTTCGCGGTAAATATAATTAACGAGTTTCTAATGAAAACTAATCGGAATCAAAATGAACGTAGGATTATAAGATTACTCACGAGTTTGTAGTTAAAATTGATGGCGAATGTTCTCGATTTCGATATTAAAAATTGGGAAGTTTTTGGTAGATAAGATACGACACGCTTTTCAGGAAAGTGGTGACTGCACTGACGTAGTACAGGGTCGAGCCTGTAGACGGCACTGCTCCAGGCTATTCAATATAGTTTCTTCACAGATATAAAACGGGAGGACCTGGCCAGGACCGTAGCACCACACAATTTTATTCAAATTCTTTATATAAATGATCCATATTTTATATACATTTTGTTTAGATTAAACATTAATTTAAAATTCTTTAGAAAATCGATAATCCTAAATTTCTTTTATCTTTTATTGGATCTTTTATATTATAGTTTACTTCAAATTGCTATCATATTTTCATTTTTTTTATTTTTTACATAATATATGATACAAATGCATTAAAATTCTCAAAGTCGATACATAATAAGATTCGAGATATACGATAAGTCGTATGATAGATGATGATCAACTCGATATTCTTTTGTTGTAGGATATTGAAACCCATCTCAGTCACGCAACTACGTATACAATATCTACATATGGCACATCCTCATACCAACGCAATATATTTGAATAGAATTGAAATCTTTCATATTGAATCTGAATTCGTGGATTTTAATATGATGAGTCTTAAATTTATTTCTTATTTATACATTGATCGACATCAATTACATTCTCGCATCAGTTTTATTTTACATAGTTAACATAGGAGAAAGAAAATACCGGATGTTTGAAAGACGGCAAGACGATGAATTTCCGGTGAAACTGATATTGTATAGAAAAATAAATCAAACATCCGTAACTAGCAATTTCTGCTATAATAGAAGAAAAAAAAAAAATGTTACTGAAAAAAACATAACCTCTATTTTCTTAGATAGAAATGAAATTGATCTTTGTATGTACATAAAAAATCTACCAATCGAACAAATTAACTAATTGATAATTGTTATTGTCCAAAAAAAATTAATCATACCTATTATTTCTCAATAATCAATGCATCAGCGAAATATAAGGATGTATCCATTAAGAGCATTAATAATAGAATTAATAATTTTAAGCGATTTTTTTTTATAAAATATGATACAAAATTAGTTGGCATGTTTAAATGTTAATAATTACAAAATTTCTACAATAAGAATAATATATAATTAAATCAATCGATTATTAATAGAGTTGATTTATTCAGAAAAAACAAAGATGTTCATACTTATAAAAAAGTATCTCTATCTGATGTATTCCTTGAAGCGAATTTTCTGAACGAAATTTCAACCGATTAGATTTCATTTGGTTCTCCATACATGAGAGATCAGTTCTCCGACTTCATAAAGGGAGCATAAACAGTTCATTAACTGCGTAACAAAGTACGGATACTGCATTATGAAAGAGAATGAAGCTACTAAAGAGAAAAACGGATAGAATATTGGTAAATGAGATAAGTGTGTTCGCATGAAAGAAGAAAGAGAAAGACTAGTTTTAAATGGTTTGCTTTGAATTTTGTTTCACGCTCGATGGGTCGTGTCTAAATCGTATCAATGGAAAATTTCATGGTAAGTTATGTTTGCCTTCATTTTTGCCTAAATAAATAAAAATAAAGATAAATAATAATATAGATAAAGTATTTAAATCTTTTAAAATTTTCAATCTTCAAATATTTCATTTTTTTTGAAATAATTTTCTATATAATAGTTTTTTTTAGCAGTAAAAGAAATCTTTTAATATTATTTGTAATTCTATGTTAATTTTTTTTTTAATATTATCTGTAATTCTATCATTGTAGAATTTTGGTATTAAAATTTTATTTTCATGAAATTTAAATTTCAAAATTATTTTTAAAATAAATTTAAAAAGAGCTAAAATTTATTTCAATGTAAATTTCAATAAGATTCAATGATGGTGATATGATATTTTTATCGATCGAAAATCAACTATATTAATCATTCTTCGTTGATGATTATTCATAGTTGCATTGTTTCGTAGTAACATGCTTATTGTTTTATTATGACATTAATTAATATTTAAAATCGCTTGACTGAATCAGTCAATTCAATTAACAATGAATAATGATGAGAGGCTTTACTGTTTTTTTTATTGGATTTCTTCAATTCGAAATTGAACAAATCGAAATGCGCGAAACAGCCGCATAAATTATTGTTTTATGTCTTGACATGTTGGTAAAGTAAGATGTCAAATGCACAACGCGAACCATCGTCCCCCTCTCTTCATCGGCTGTAACTGAAGGATAAAGACGCCATCATTTCCATTTCACGAAATTAGCCTGTTCAACATGAAATACAATTTCATGTCGGTTAATTTCGTCCTGCTTTAAACTGGGATCACAACGTTTAACGACGCGGTGAGTTTGTGCTATGTAACTTATTAAATTGCTTTCATGTGCATGAATATACTACATGTTAATAATGGATTTGTTACAGTGGTAAATAATCAGAGACGACAATAAGGTTAGTAACAACAATGGCATAACATTACAGGAATTTCTTTTATCTTTATTAGATTGTTGTTATTTGATAATCATCATGATCAAAGAAATTGTTTCTATAAAACGTGAAAAATATATTCAATTAATATTAATTACATCTAATTATGTAGAATTGATAGCAAATATTTATGTTATATATGGAGAGATATAACAAAAGAGGTTAAGAAAATTTTTTCAAATTCAATAAATTTGAAGTGATTGTGAAATATATGAATTATTGCTTGCTATTAATTTTACTTTTATTCATAATCAAAAAATCTTGTAAGAACATGATCATGAAATATTTCAACAGGAAAAAGCTGCATTTGTGAAAATCATTGCTCTTTTTCTGCAAGTTCCATCTGTGAAATTCGAACATAGCTAAGCAACTTTTGTCATTGGACATCCTGTTGGCATCAAAGGATGCCGCAGAAATAATTCAAGTAAATGAAAAGGAGTGAGGAGAAAAAAGATCGGGGTTGTTTGGTGACAAAGAACCGAAGACAGAGATAAATGGATGACGGAACGAAGATCGATATAAGAGGTTATCAACCGCAGTGTAAAAAAAGATGTCCTTTCAGAGTTAAAAATCGAATATAAAAAAGAAAAAATAAACATATATTTATATGATATAATAAAACGGTAATACTTTAAAATTTGAAAAGATTTAATTAAACTAATATTTACTAATTAATGTAATAAAAAGATATAAAAAATAATAATTATAATTCAATATTTCCGTTTAATAGGTTTATTGAAAATTTTATCTAAAATATATTTTATGAAAAATAATATAAATAAATATTGCATAATGATAAATTATTTAGAATTTACTAAATTTGATTTAATAAATTTTATTATTGATGTAAAAATATATTTTATTAGTTTTTAATAATTTATAAGAGTGATTTATAATCTTAAAATTTCAGAAAAGATATAATAGTTTTTATAACTTCAATAAAAATATAATATATATAATAATACAACATTCCAAAGAATGTCGGATGATTTATCTCGTAATTTCAAACGTGATATGATAAAAATGGTCAAAAACTGCTGAGACTGTATGTTTAACAGTGGCAAAAAGCTCAAGATATTAAGTAGTTGAAATGAAAACCGAGTCAAGATTAAAATATCTATGAAAAAAAACGAAATTTTAAAGAAGCCAAGATCGAAATATATAGGAAAAAAGATAATAAAAAATTATCAGAATCATTATAAAATTATTGAAATATAAAGAAAAGAAGAAAAAAAATAGTAGAATAATAAGAGAATAAAAGATGATAGTAAAAGTAAATGGAAGAAATCGAGAGAAACCGAAATCCTCAGAGAAAACGGGAAAATCAAGAAAAATCAGCTAGCTGTGAACACTTGGCGAGACTGTGAACTTTAAAAGGAAGAAAGTGCGGAGACGGGAAGCGAATGCTGCACGGAAAAATCCAGCTGCACTCTAGAGATTAAGGAAAGGGGTTGAGAAGTTGAAAGATTTGGGGTAACGGCTGAAAAAATTAAGGAAAAAAAAAATAGAGTCAGACAAAAGTTTGCATAATAAAGAAAGTATAAAAAAAAAATCTATTATTAGAGGTGAAAAATGTTAATATATGATATTTTAAAGTAAATTTTATATTTTTATATTAAGATGAAATGTACATGTTTAACTATTAATTGAAAAGTAGATACATAAACTAATAATAAATATTAAAATTATATTTTTCCGACTTTTAGAAATAAAAGTTTTTTAAATATTATAAAATTTTTTAAAAAACTTTCATCTAATAAATTAGTAAGAAAAAATGTAGATTCGATCTAGATTTAGATTTTTGGGCTTAAGATTTAAAAGTTTTAAAGTTAATCTTTATTTTTAATTTCTTTTCATCGATACTTTTACTCACAGTTTAAGTTTATTTCAAGGAGTTATTTTTCAACTTTAACCTTTTCGGTAATCTTTCGAAAAATAATAAAATAATTTTAAATGTTATAAAGTTGTTTCCATTGTGTTTTAGACAAAGAGAGAGGTATGGCATTTTTCATCGAGGAAAGAAATACCAGTTTAAGAACATAGAGAGTCAGGAAGCAAAAGTTAGAAGAGAAAGGAGCAACGAAATCCCGAGGGAATCCAGAAAATCCGCCTGACGAGCTGCAGAGAAGACGTGATGCGTTAGAAAAAAGGAAACAAGACGGTAGATGGAAAGTGTAATAGTTAGACAGGAAAAGAAAGAAGAGACGAGACGCAGAGAAAAAGCAAACAAACCGTGTGAAACGCAGGCTAGGCTTGCAATCGCATCTTCATTTTGCTAATGAGCTTCTGGAGACATGTTAAAACATGGGCATAAAGTATGAATACATATCATGTGCCCAAGTAATTATCGTTATAATTATATTAATCATAATACTACAGATCCGCTATGATGCTTTTGTTCGAGAAGAAATAATCAGTATATTTTAAACTGAAATGTTTTAATCTTTTATGATAAACAGATTAAAAATAGTACAATAATGATAGATTTAGAATTTGATAGAAATGTTTTTTAAAATAAGAAAAAAAATTGATTTTGTTTAGATAATGATTGATGAGAGAATAGGAGATGAAGTATAATTATTTAAAAAAAAAAATTGAAAATGAAAATTTTTGTTCAGAAATTGGGATGAATTTGGGAAATTATATTTTTCAGGAAATTTTATGAAAAGATTATAATAATGATGTAATCTAAATAATAAGAAATTCTTAATGTTTTCAAAGATTAAGATTCTTTATAGAAAATTATAATGAATTTAACAAAGAAAAAATAAAATTATTCTTTTACAGACTAATTAATGATTAATTAATGATTATACAAGGAATTTATAAAAAATTAACGAAATAGATATAGAAATAAACGAATTAAGAAATTAATAAAATTAGAAATTTTCTATTGAAAAATTGATTTTTTAAAGATTTTTTATTTATAAACAATCACATAATCGGTTAATTATTATAATTTTCTTGTGTATTTAAATTTTTGTATTTGCTAAAAAATTTTGAATGTAACTAGTATTTCCTTACAAAATAATTTTATGTTATATATATATTAGAAATGACCATTATAATTATTATAGAATTTTATCAAATGTTTTCAATTTTTTGGTCAACTTTTTAAGATCTTTTAAGATTTTCTGCAATTACTTTTAGGTATAAAAATTCTTCTTTTCAAAAAGATTTCATATTTAAAGCTTATTATTTTATTACTTAATTTAATCAAAATCCCATTTTTTTTTAGGTTTCAATATTTCATTGGGAACATACTTACATATCAAAAATTTATCAGTCTTTGAGATTATACTGATTTTCCCTTCAGTTTTAATTACCTAGATTTTCAAATGCAAATCTTTTTACTTAATTCAAAGGATAGGCTTATCCATTTCCCAAAGGATATGGCTTTCACATCTGAAGATTTTGGTTGTTATCAACTTTGATTAGAGAGATTTATTTCGATTTCAATCTTAGAATGGGACGTTAATACGCTTTCTTGAAGATCATGTGTCGAGAGACCGAGATTTTTCTTGCTGAAGAGGGACATTAGCCCACTAAACATTAAGAGGAATTACGCTAATGAATATCTAACTTGAAGCCTCAACGTTAAAGGGAATTATGCTAATGAGCTTGGAGAGAGGAAAAGGAAAGGATCTGTGCGTCTTGTTGCATTATCCACGAAAATTCGAAAGAGGAACGAAGTCTTAATTCGAGAGGAATAAGGGATAAAACAAAGAGAAGGAAAAGGAAGAGATTCTCTTCATCTTTCAGTTTCTTAGACTACTTCCTTCATTTATTACGCTGCATTCTATTTGTATGTAAGTGCCATGAATTTTGTTCATTTGTTGGAATACAATTTTAGTTATTCTAGAAGAAAACTTCATTTGTTTAAGAATAAAAATTTGCAATTTTTGTAAGAATTAGTTATATGTCTTTGAAATGTCTGTAATGAATAAAATAATTCATGGAATTATAATTTATAATTATTTTTTCTGATATTAAATTTTTTGATGATTTAAAAATTTTTTTTCTTTATTTATATTCTAATTTAATATTTAAAAATAACTAATATTTAATAATTATAATATTATCTATTATCATCTATTAGTATTAAATATTTATATTATATATTTATTATATTATTAAATTATTATATATTTATTATATTATATTATTTATTATTATATATTTTATATATTTATGTTTAATATTTAATATTAATATTTAATATTAATATGAATTGCTATTGTTGAGTTAAAAATTATTTTAATTTAATCTAACTAAATTTTAACTTAATCAAAATTTTTGTGATATGTAACTTAATACAAGATAATAAATATAAATAATAAAATATTAAGCTTTTTGTATCAATATTATAATAACAACATTTAACATTTAGTTTATTTAAATCATTATTTTTCTATAATAAATCTACAAAAGTTTTCAAGATATGAAGGTCAAGTGGAATTTAAAAGTCATACAAAAAGTTATCAAATTAATTTTATCCTTATCGCAATATGCACTTTTGTATTAGAGAAGAATTTCTTTAAAAAGAGGAAACGAAAAAAAAAAAATTGTCTGAAAAGATTGAGGGGAGGAAAAAAAGAAAAATTGAACCACGAAGAAAGTTCACCCTGTCCGACTCAGCTTCTCTGCATGCTAAGCGGCGAATTAGGCAAATATTTCCCTACATCGTCTGTGGCCACGCGTAAAAAAGGATCCATACTCGACTTGAATCCTTTTTTGAAACCATTTTACATACTCTTTAGATTTAACTATTCTTCAAATTTTGATTCTTAACGATATAAATCATATAATTTCAAACATTGCTTGATTTAAAAATTTCTAGATTAAACTTTAATACTGAAAAATGTATTACTGTTGTTATATGTGAAAAAATTTGATTTTAATACTAAAGTTGTTATTATTATTATTATTATTATTATTATATTTAAAATAATTTATTCAAATTGTTATCTTTTTGTTTTGTTTTTTTATATTTCCTAGATCTTTTTTTTTCTATTTTCAAATATTGAAATTAGAGAACGAGATATCAAGCTAAATAATTCTTATTTCTTATTAAAAAGTAATAGAAAATTAGAGAAATAGAACTAATAAGGAATCATTTTTAGAGAGAGGTTCGTCATATAAAAAATAAAAATTATCAATTGTTTTTATAAATTATTAATTTATTTATTCAAATTGAAATAGACGAAATAGATTAAAAAAAAATAGAAAAAAAAATTGATTATAGAAATTAATTAATGAACTTATTTTATGGGTTTCTTTAATTGATTTCTTATTGATTTCTTAAAAAAAAAAATTGTGATAATTTTGATTTATTCAAATTTCAAACAATTGAAAAATGAAAAAAAAATAAAAGAAAAATTTGTTTGTAAAAATTAATTAACTAATATATTTTATTTAATCTAAAAATATTGATTATGGTTTTTCTAGAAAAAAATTGTGATTTTGTTGATAAGGAAATTGGTTCAGGGATAAGCAAAGAAATGTAAATTTTCCGGATTTGTGACATGATAGAAGCGTTCGTTGGATATTATAAATTTTATGGTTTCTTACATGGCGCCACGGAGTAATGGAGTATCTCTTGATGAAAGTTCAATCCCTTGTGCGCAACTTGGAATATAATAATAATGCGGAACAAAAACTTTTTCATATGGCAGAGATGGAGTTTGTTTTCAAAATACTCGCGAACAAATTGAGAAAAATATTTTTAAATATTCATAGACTTTTGTAGAATCTTGTTGATATTTGTAGCAAAAATATTCCACACTTATTCAAGTTCCAAATATTTGAAATAGAAATATTCTACGGTTTCCTTATTTTCTAGATATATGTGAAATTTTCTTATTTCCTTTATGTTTGCAGAAGAAATATTCTTTTACTATGTAGATATTTACAAAGAGAAAATAGCATTCTTCTTTACTTTTTTTATTTCACTAATTCTTAAGAATTTCATACATTATATTTATAACTTTCTATTACAATTACATTATGATAGATCGTTTGAATTTGTTTTAATAAATGTTATTATAAAATTTCGTTATGTAGTAGCATTTAAGAAAATTGATTTTGAAATCTCTCTTATTAAGATCCATTTAAAATTATGCATTACAATACATCTAAAATAATATATTATACTACATAATTTCTTAAACAATTTTTACAAACAATTTTTTCAATTAATTGTTTTTTAATTAATTGCTATTCTAATTAATTTTATTAATATTAATTTTAATATTAATTTTTTTAGAAAAATTATATGATATAATATATTTTCTATATATTAATTAAATATTTGAATCTTTTAACTACATTAAGGGAGTAGCACGCGATCAATAATATTAATAATAATATTTTCTTTGCTATAATAATTTTTCTTCAATTTCTTTTAGATAATTTTTTTTATAATTATAGATATTGATAATTATTGATTATGTGCTGCTCTAAAAATTCAGAGCAATTTAATAATTTAATTATATAAATATTTTATAAAAATAATATTTTCTTTATAAAATATTCATTCTTCTTTTCAGGTCAAAACATAGCCAATTGTTTTTTGACTTTATCCCTCTGACTTTATTCATTAATGAATAATTAATGACGCATTTCTTTGCGCATTTTTTAATTAATTTTAATCCATCTAATGAAGGCGTATCGATAACGATAATTTATGAGAAGAGTTAAAACGACTCGTAGGCGAATTGTTTTTCAAAATCGACGATCGGATTAATCGAATCAATTATCCAGGTATATTGTAGGATTCCACTCGTATCTGCTTAATTTGTTTAATTTATTGTTGAACGATGCGGAATGCGAGGTGTAATGTACAAACAGAGGCTGGAATTTCATAAAAGCAGATTTGTTCGAAAATTCGCTCGATGATATGTCAGAGAGGTATTTTCAATTTCTTTTTTAATTGTATATTAAATAAATAGGATATAATATAATATTCTTTTAAATCATAGAAAAATAATTTAATAAATCTATTTCATTGATTTGTATTTTTTTTTAAAAAAATGAAAAAAAAAATGAAAAAAATGAAAAGAATTTGTTATCAAATAAATATTTATATTACACATTTATTATTATATTTTAACAAGATTTATTAACTATTAATGTTTATAATATGTAAATTTTATTATTAATTCAATTTGATTATGAAAAAAAGTGATAAATTTCTAATTTATATTAATTATAATTTATATTCTTTCATAAAGTCTTCTTTCTTAACTTTCCAATATTGATTTAAGATTTATAATAAAATAAATTAGTTCACTTTTAAAGAAAGGAACAAAAAGTGACATAATAAATTAATCACTTTAAATTCTTCCACAATATATGTTAGAAAACTGATTGTTTTTTATACTGTATTATTATAATTTTTTATTATATTTCTATATAATTATTTATTTTTTATTTATAAATTAAAATAAGAAATTATAATTAAGTATAATTTTTATCTCTTTGAAATATTTTTTGAAATAATGAATATATAATCATATGATATAATTTCCATTTAATCCAAAAATACAAATAGATATTAAAAAAATTGTAAAAAAATAGATTTAAATTTTTTTAACATATTACTTTTTTAAACTTTTTGTTATATTGTTTAATAATATTGAATAAATTGAAATAATTGAATAAAATTTTGAATTTAAGAATCTATTGATTTAAACATTTAAAATTTAATAATTTTAACATATATGTTCAGATTAGATTAATAAGATTATATTAATATTCTAATTAGGTTAAATTAAATCACTTTATTAATATCGTATTGAAATATAGAATTATGCAAAGGAAAAAGATAAATAAGAATACATATCATTTTTGCAATAATGAATTTGAAAATCAATTACATGACTATTATGCGTTAAAATGATATCAATTTAGTAGTATTATTAATGAAAACAATCGAATCAAGATTTTATTAAATTATTTAAAAAAATATATATATTAGATTAACACTATCAGAAAATATGATAAAATTTTTTAGAAATTATAAATTATTGTTCCAAAATTTGATGAACATAATGAATAATGAAGTATATTAAGTTAGGTAACTTTCAAATTAATATATTCTTAAATTCAAAATTTTTGTATTTCGTTTTTATCCAATCAATTGCTAATTAAATAATAAAAATAACAAAAATCATAAACAAATAAACGAATTAAAAAATTTTTAAACCATCGCAATAATTATTTTTAAAATTTTAGTTACGAAGGAGGAACAAACGTGACTGCATGCTAATTCGCGTCGTTTGAAGAGTCGGAGCAGGCCTTTAGGAGGATCCTTCAGGATCTCCTCTCCGTTTAAACGAGCGTCGCAGGACGAAAGGGGCTAAATGAGTATGGAAAAGGGCCACGGGGGAAAAAAAAGGCGAGCATCGCGACGTCGAGTGGCGAGGACAAATTGGTAGTCCGTGGAAGAGGAAGAATAGAGGGAAAGAATGAAAGGGAAGAAAGAGAAGAACGTTTTCTCTTCATTCGAATAAAAGAAGAATGGGATGGAGCTTTCTTCTCGATGAAGCTTATCAATTCCGAGCAGAGAGAGGTCGTAAGTTCGCCAAGGACATACGACATTCGTCAACGAAGAATGTGCACGCATTTAATTCGTGAAAGTTAGTGGAGGAAACGGAAGAGGTAGCGTGATATAAAAAGGATGGATGAAAGAATGGTTTGGTACGTCGTTTGGACAGAACGAAGGAGGAGAAGAAAGTTTGCTCGGAGTTTAATGAGATTCGTGGACAATTTAATTGAAAGTAATACGGGCTTTGGTAAATAGAAGGACAGAGAAGAGAAGGGAAGGATATTCTTTCTTTTTTCGGGATGGCGGAAGAAATGAATTGAAAGAGGATATTTGTGTTTTTTTATTAATTAACGTACATAATAACCGGGTACAAAAGAAATTTTCGTTTGAATTGGAAGAAACAAATGTTTAACAGGTTTCTTTTTACATGTGGGATAGATTTTTATTCTTTTCTTTGAAAAGATAGTGAAAGTGAGAAGTAAAGAAAAATGAAAAATGGTTTTAGATTATCCATTTTGAAAAAAGATTTATTTTTAATAATGATTTCAAAGATTAAATTAGGGTTTTAAAAAGTTTTAAAGATTTGATTAAAATATTTTTATGTATTTCAAGGATTAGAATGCAATAGTGTAATCATAAGATCAAGAATGCAAATTATAAAATCAAATATAAAAAAAATAATAAAGTTTGATCTAATTTAAAATTATAGAAATGACATATAATAATATATTGGATTGATACATATGAAATATCACATTTTTTTAAATTTAAATTTGAAAAATATATTTTATATTAAATTCTTTCTTCATTTATATTATTGGAATTATAAAGAATTATATAAGAATTAAAAAGAATAGAAAAACTATTTAAATTATTTATTTTGTAAAAATATATTATTTATAGAATAATATAAATTTTTATATTGATTTTTAATTGATATTAAAAATTTGTATACTAATTACAGTACTTGCATTATATAAATAACATAATAAAATAATTAAATGTAAATATTCATATTGATCTTTTACAATATTAACTTTTACTATATCATAATACATTAATACTATTTCTATATGAATTAAATATTAATCCAATAAAATTTATATATTAATCTAGCAATAGTCACATTATAATATACATTATTAGTAATATAATTACTAGTCACATTATAATATACATTATAATATACATTTTTATTACTTTTATCTATATTAATTAATATTTACCAATTAATATTAAAAAGAAGAAGAAAAAAGAATTCACAGTAAAATAACTTTTATCCAACATAATACTCGCATCTTCGTTATTACCACATCTTCTTTTCCGGAAGAAAGAATCATCCTTAAAAAAATTCACTTAAAAATCCATTCTAATCAAGTATATCAAGATTAAAAATTCCACGAAGTACGCTGAAGAAATTATCGTATTCTTAGATGGTATCCAAAAGTTTTTAGAGGGTTGGAAGGAAGTCGTTGCACCGGATGGCACTTGGCCTTAATAAGCCTTCGAACGTCTCGAATTCGAGTCAAGCCGCGACTCTTTTCCTCTCTTCGTCGTGTGCACCATCAGGTTTTGCCAGGTTTTGGCTCGTTCGACGTTCAATAAAAGCTTCGACCGACTTCAACGGCCGCATTGTTTCAAGTTTGGCCTTGATACGTGAGGGTGGTCGATACACGAGGTCGAGGGGGTGAAAGCGGCGAAAACACAAGAGAGAGCCTTGTTTCTGGTTGAATCGAAGCACTCGACTCGTTATCGGCACGAGTCCTCTATCGATGTCCCGTAATTACATAAAAGTAACTATATAAGCAGACTAGATACGTACGTGACGATATTTGGTCGACAATGAAAATGCGGAACAAGAGATTTTGAAATGCGATAATGAAAGCGTGAGAATTTTTGAAGGAATTTTGAGAATGTGAGTGACTATCTATTAGTCAAAACTAATACTTTTTAATTAGATTTTATCAGTTTGTTTAATAAATCTAGGAAATTAGTGTGATATTTATTAAGATTTTATTGAAAATAATATATTATAGTATTATAAAATAGGATATTATAACCTTATATAAATATAATTATTAATATAGTATTTAAATAATATAAGTAATATAAATAGTATTAATATATTATATACTACAATGTAATAAAAATTTAATGCAATAAAAAGTGATGTCAATATTAACAGTATATCATGAATCAAATTCTAATATCATTTAAAAATCTTATAATCATCATCAACTGCTATTAATATTATTACTAAATATAATAATATAAATTTCTAATATTAATTAGAAATCTCATATTTTTTATATCTCATTTTAAATCTCATTTTTTTATATTATTAATTAATAAATAGTAATATTCTTTTCTTTTTATTTTTTATCTTTTAATACTACTTATATTTTTTTTTTTTACTATTATTTATCTACAATATAAGATATTAATAGAATACTATTATTATTGTATTATATCCAAATTTCTAAAAAGTCTTCATAACTCTTCTATCTATATTATAAAATAGCATTAATATTATAATCTAATACTATAATATAATATATTAGTAGAATACTTAGTAATATTATGCTTATTATATATTATATATATATTATCAATATATATATAAACTAGCAATTACTATCATGTTTAAACTTCTAAAATGGATATATCACATTTTTCTTATCCATATCATAAACTAATATTAACATTGCTACAACGTATTTAAATTCTTCATATAAACTTAATGATTATTTATCCATTAGCATCAACAAACAATCAATTCCTCGATTTTTCAATTTTTCAATTTACCGCGTTTATTTTACTTGATTTTTGGTCTCGCGAAGAACCGGTTCGATTCACTATACAGTTATTTAACAAGCGGGTTTTCGACGCGGATAAGCATCGTTCTGGCGCGGCACGCTTCGGCTGCTCGCGCCTAAACGCGTGCACGCCCGGAACGAATTAAAGGCCGTCTCTTTTTCTGACCGAGCGAACCGTCCGTTTTGCTCGATTGAACGCTCGTTTAACGCTCGATCGGACTGTCTTGCCCTCTGTTTTCCTCTCGAAAACCGACGATTCACACCGATTATACCGATTACACTTAAACAGACGATTTTGCCTCTCTTTGAATCTCGTTGAAATTGTTGAAACCCCTTAATAAGGAGCAGCCAATTAATACTAGTAAATATTTATTATATTTAATTGGGAGTTGTAATTATATATATTTGTAATGAATATTTATAATGTTCAGATTGTAATATAATTTTCAGAATTCAATTATACGAATGAGAGATACAAAATAAATTTTCATAATGAAAAGAAAAACTGATTTATCATAATACTGTTACTTCAATTTTTTTTTTCAAATTTAAAGGAATTGGGAAAAAAATTAATCTTGAAAAGATTTCATTTATATAGTCATAATGCAAAAAGTAGAATTCCATAAAGTAACTGCAGATCAAATATTCTCATTTGATTTTGTAATTAACAAATTCAATTAGAATCAAGCGTTAAACGTTATTATTTTTAAGGTTATTAATTTAAAATTTAAACTAGTGTAATAATAGAATATGACAGGAAAAATAAAATGAATATTTTAATTTCTTCCATACATTTATAATACTGACTATATAATATCGATTAATTCGTCCAAAATTACAAAGAAAAAAAAAAATCACCAACAAAAAAGAACAAAATTCCACTAGATCTCTTCATTATTGAAGCATCGAACCCAATTCTCATATTCTCGAGGACACGGCCGCTTCTCAAACAAAATAATTCCGAACCGATAATTAGCATCATTAGCGAGACGTCCCCTCGTTAAACCTCGTTGCGTGCAGGGAAGAAGGCAGGGAGAGAAAGTTATAGGGAAACGTCGCGTGCTGCTCGAAGAGGGGGGGGAGGTGGTTCTCGAAATCCGCACGATAATTCCGCCCATTCCGGATTCGGCCCCTCCGACTAAATCCTTTTCCGATTCTCAATGCTACTTATCCCCGTTGCAGAGTCAGTAGCGTACGAAAAAAAGAGAAAAATAACGTGGAATCACCATCCCCGACTAAGCTTTCGGTTGGAAATTTCTCGTGAAAATACGGACCTAACGAAAATATGAGGTTGAGAAAGA